ATACGGATCTCTAAATTCTTTAGACTAACGTTTAACAAAACTGAGGACAGCTTTGCTTTCAAGACCATGGTATCAATATGATGAAATTAAGGTTAGGGTCCATATTAACTCCAAATCAACATAGTTAAAAACTTGCTCTAGAATATGGTGTTTTTCATAAGAAGAGTGCACAGATCTACGGGAAAAGCACATCGTCTTCATTTACTGAGTTCAATGGCAAATCATTTATATCACACCATGCAACCATTGTTTAGAGTGTTTGCACAGACACCTTCCTCAGTTGAAGTGTATGATTTAAAAAGCTTTACATCGTCAGCGTATAATAAAATTTTGAGAATTCTATTACTGAAGAGATATCGTTAAAACACAGGAACGAGAATCGGGCCAAGATGACTACCTTGCGGAACACCTGAAAGACATTAATTGTATCTGAAAGTGTATCCTCAAATATCACTCGTTGTGTTCTAATAAAGATAGGAAAATACTCATTGAAGGAATTTTGGCTGAAAGCCCAGCAGATCAAGTTTATGTATGAGAATCGAGATATTTACTTTATCGAAGCTTTTAAAGTCTGTATATAACATCCGTATGTTTATGTTCCCTGAAACCCAATGATACGTGGTTTACAAAATTCAAGTAAGTTTGTTATAGTCAGATTCCGTTTGCGAAATCCATGCTGAGATGAAATTAACGGAGAAATCGAAAAGTTATATGGTCAGTGATAGTGGCTTCAAAAGTTTAGGTATAGACTGATAGTTTTTCGATCCTCTATAGTTTTCAATGTTGGATCTAAATCCACTTTTATGCAATAGATTATAAATGACTGTTTCCATATGAAGGAAATATCCGTGTTTAAGAGAGGAATTAAATATCCTTGTCAAAGGAAGGTAAATATATTTGGCACTATTTTTAGGAAGCTGAGGGTATCTGTCTGGGCCATAACTAAAAGATGGTTTAACTTATTTAAATTAAGTAGGACGTCTTCTTCAGAAATAATTGGAGCGTTAATTAAAGTACTCGAACACAGCACGTGCTGATAAGAAAAAGTTTTGGAAGAATTATTACAGTAGTATGACTTGAAAATTCTGCAAACATGATGGATATAATATCATTGTCACTTGAAATGATAGATTTATGTATTTCATCGCGGACTGAAATTTGGAAATCCTGCGTTTGGAGTTGACGAAATCATAAAACGATTTTGGTTTATTTAAAATATTATTTTTCTTTTTAAAACTAATAATGGATTTAAAGTATGCCACTTGTGACTAAAATTTCTAGTCGAACCAAAAACTGTTCGAGGCAATAGGTACTGAATATGTAAGCCTCAGTTTTAGTTGACTTTATAGAAATATCGATCAGTGTGTAAGATATATAATTGACATTCATATAAAAATAAATAATGAAACTCTTGCTAATAGTATTATGTATTTTTGTGTCACAAATGAGTTAGAATCGGATCAATCTTCCTTTAATATAAAATTTGCCAACACCTGAAGTCATTTGCCGGGCTTTGATCTTGCAAGTTGCGAGTAGTATGAAATGTTCGGTTACACCGAACTTAGCTCTCCTTACTAGTTGTAGATATATATATATATATAAACATATCTATGTAGTAAAGTCAGCCGGATCTTCAACATCCTGAATATCAGTTATACGTGGGTTTCCATAATTTTATCCATTATAAGCACAAGATATACTGTTTAGAAAATAGAGTGTATTTTCTTAATTTCATTAAAATAACTGCCACATTGGCCAATATATGTAGTATAAAGTCAACATGAAGTTCAAAATCAGTTATATATGGTATATGGGGCTAAGGAAAGTATTGACCCGGTTCAACCTTTGTGACACAGGGTATATTATTATCAAAAATATTTTCACCTCAATAACATATCTCATAGGTTGAGCGTCATTTTCGGTAAAAAGTTATTACGCACTGGGGTCCACATATTCAGTATGGCATGTGGGGCTTGAACAGTTATGATCCGATTTTGACAATATTAAGACTCGAGATGGCATACCTTAAAACTACTATTTGTGCAAAGTTTCAAGATATGTTATGTGCGAATTTCAATAAGATTGGTAGTTTGGAGATTTTTCCTATATGTGGGCGGTGCCACCATCGCCCACTTTTCTCCGCGCCTTCTTATTGAAAGCGGGATCCACAACCATTTTAAGATTTTCAAACCACAAGCGCCCCTACCTTAAGGTGATTCGTTGTGCCAAATTTTAGTTCTGCATTTGAGTTTACGGCTTAGTTATAGCACCATATACGTTTTCGATTAATAGCTTTTTGATGGAGTGGTCCGATTACGCCCATCTACGAACTAACTTTTGGTGAAAATTACGTGTACCAAGTTTCATTACAACATTTAAATTGTTACTTAAGTTACAGCTTGCACGGACCCGCAGACAGTCGCTCGGTTTCAACTCGCCTCATCATCTTGACCATTTACAACTGTATATCTAACCATATAATTTATCGACTCAGATATTTTTGATTTAAGTCAA